TCTGTTAGCGAAGAGATTTCGCCATTAATTGCATTAATATTGCTAATTGATTCAATGTATGATTATCTCTTTATAATATAAAATATATGCTTCCTAATATAATACGTTTTTATATATATATATATATATATATATATATATATATATATATATATATATATATATATATATATATATATATATATATATATATATATATATGGATCAGTTGTAATTAATCTAGTGAGACAAAATTTCTAACCATATACACCACGTCGAAGTGCCATATATACGATTGAGTAGTGAGTTCAATCTTCACTGAGTGCTTCTTCATACTTTCGGCCTTGTTCATCTCAACTAAATCACTATCTGAAAATAGATCATACTATGATGGAAAACGCCCCAAACTTAATAAGAACTAGGTTATATCATCAAAATCTTTATGTTGTTATTAAGAGGAAAGGCCAAAGTATTTTTCATCCTTTTTAGAACATTCGAAAATTTGGTTAAAATCTTGTTTTTCTTGCATTAAATTAGCATAGCAAATTTTAACGTCTTTTTTGCAGTGAAAGACACATTGATTTGTCGAATTTTAATGAAACTTTCAGACTTGTTCACAAATTAGCTATCAGACGGCATTTAAGCTAGTTCCTGCGGAGGGCTCTTGATTGGGCCTTCATCAGGGAGGTGTAGACTTGATAAGAGACAATAAACTACCGAAGAACTCAAAATTGATCACTGTATTTAAGTATTGATTAATATTTAAGCTTACCATTTAAAAGTTCAACGATAATCCATCTGTCGCCACTTAATTTAAAGACAATTTGATGTACGTAGGTCCTTACTTTATATACAAACAATTATTTTTATTTCATGGATGACTTTCGATGGATTTCGCAAATAATTTCAATTATTACCAAATTTATTTCGAAGATATAAAAATTGTTATCGTACAAAAAAAATTGTCTCAAAAAATCACCTAAAAATCGCTTAAAACAATCGCAGTAATGAAAACTTGGGAATCCAAAATTTCAGGATTGCGGGTTCGAATCCGGTCCGGGATGTTTTTTTTAATTTACTCATAGGGTCAGTCTGATTCCAAAATTGTATTTCTAAAGTTAAAAAAGTGCGACACAGTGACACACCGGCATTCGAATTTATTTATATAGATGAATGAAATTATTTTACATTTTTTTTTTTTTTAGAAAATCTCTTTTTTAAATATGTGTTTCACCCCTCTTAATTTTATGAAAACTCGAGAAATTCAACGAGATAATTTTTAGAGTAAAAATCCTAATTATCAATTATTTATTTGTAAAATTGAACCCCATCTTACCAAAAATCTGTTCTGAATTGTAAAATAAAAACACAATAAAACTAAGACATTATTTAATTAGAAAAGCTTTTAATGGCTTTTCTGAATAAAATATATTAAGGACACTATTATCTTAAAAAATATTCGATGAATGATGAATTTATTTTATTGCTTTAATTTATTTGCTTTCATTTTTTTTAAATAGAATTTTTTTTTTAATTAAAAAAAATTTATAAAGTTTTTAAATCTTTTAAGATTCAGTTTCAGTGGTTAAATTGTTAGAGAATATTGTTACTAATCATAAATCGAAAAAACTTATTACAATCTGAGGTATCCCAATATAAAAATAATTTTGAATTGTTTTTTTGTGTGTGTATACCGTACCGATTTTTGTAGATACGGGTGTATACAAGATATTATCAAAAAATATGAGTGACAACTATAGTAAATTTAAAGCAAAAGTATCTAAAATAAAACATTAGATTACGAAGAATATTTTCCTAATTTTTTAAAATTACTGAGTACTTAAAAATTATATATAGGAGGCTCTCGCGTTTTATTCAATCATTGTTTTACGACTAAAGTCCCCGTTAGATAAAAATCCATCTCTTATCAAATACTCGAACACTTCAATTCAACAGCTACCGCTGTGGTAAAAACAATGCATTTCTGCGATATCTTAAACTTAAAGTAAATAATATTTGTTTCTAATCAGATTAATTAAACTTTAAATCAGCTAATATTCCTCAAATAAAGTTTCAGAAAATTATATTTTATTTTTGGAAAATTTTTTAATAAAAGAATTACATTGAAATGACGGAAGGCGCTAAATTAAAAAAAAAAAATCAGCAATGTCAGAACGAAAACTATTTCCAATCAATTTAAAAATTAGTTTTAAAATAGAGCAAAGTATTTTGCTTATTGGAAATATGAAATTTAATCTATTAACTTTAAAAAATTAAAACTAAAATGAAAGCTTCAAGAAAGATTTTTCATTTTTAAGAATTAATTTTAAATCTTGCCTATCGCGAATCTGTGGATATGGACTCTCCCCTCGGTTTCAGCATATGAGGATCTGACAACTTAACCAATTGATTCAGTTATGAATTTTGTGCGATAATCTTAAGTGTCACTTAAGTCCCGCTAGTGATTTACAAAGGAAGCCGCATACGGAGCAAGATTTTTCATTGCACACACGCCGCTACCGAACGTGACACAAAATCAGTTTAAAGGGGGCGGGGTTAACGGCAGTACTGTGTAGAATATTGCTCAAACACCCCTCGATACTTCCCCTTTTTGGTGACGCCTCAGGCACCGGATAATGACCCCAGTCCTCTCCCGAAGAGGCTTGAGCTGATATTATTTCGAAACTACCCAGCCGAAGTTAGAAAAATATATATATATATATATATATATATATATATTATTTATAATATTATATATATATTATATATATATATTATTTATATATATATATATATAATATATATATTATATATATTATTTATATATATATATATATAATATATATATTATATATATATATATATATATATATATATATATATATATATATATATTATATATATGACAAGCATACACGTACACATTATTCATAGTCTTGTGACAACGCCTGACGTAATAGCACGAGCTCGTTCTATACTTTCGTAGCATTTAAAATTAGCGGCTCCATTCGTAATCTTTCTTAAACACTCTGCTTCACTATCCTCACAATATCCTTAACTGCGCTAGGCAAAGAAAATCCGTCCATTGTTTTGTGCATGGACTTAGTGATTTTTTTTTTTTTTTTTAACAATAGGATTATCACATTTAGTCTCGTGTCTTTTTCTTTCTGACTACAAATGCATTTTATTTTTGTAACTTTAAAAAAAATGAACGCTTTATTTTTATAGAAAAAGGCGAAGTTTAAAATCTAATCTAAAATTATTTATAAGACGCGTAAAAAGTTAAAATGGCAAATTATTGAAGGTGATACCTCTATATAACTTTTTGAATTTGTCTTGCATGTATTATCATTTATCTGTAGGCACTTCGATGTCGTTTAACAGTAAGTGTAAAAAATGGTTAGCAAGCTTGTCTCGCTAGAGATCAATTACTGACTGAGTGGTGAGTTTGATGCACACTGTGTGCTCCACAGGCCGTGTGAAACATCAAAGCTACGCTTAGAAAAATCATCATACCACACGTAAGCAGGTAAGATTGTTCTATCAATGAATGTTCGAATAGGGCCGACTGCTTCACACATTTTTTTTCATTCAAGACGTATGCAATTACGGCTCTCCATAGATTAGTTTTCTTTGTTATCTATGAGTTGTATTTATTGGGAAAGAACGATAGTGGATTGACTTCCCGTTGCCTCCTTCGCAATTTTGAATTTGTTTGTTTGTTTTTTTTTCTTCTCGTAGATTGGTTGCCATCCAAAGGTGCGTGAAGCTACTCTAGCAAATTAATTTATAGTTGTTTTGGAAAAGAGACGAATTCATTACTTTTCCAAGGACATAGGCAGAACGGACTAATACCCGCCATTTAAAGTTAAGGCTAACTATGCAAAGTACACAGTGGCGAAATAATCTCATTCTCTTCGTATTCCATTTGTAAGAAAGAAGTTCTATTCAAATAGCTTATTCCCAAATGCCGCTGCTTTGTTGAACACACTCCCGAGGGGATGGTTTCTTCACCGTTACAATCTTAATTTCTTAAAGTCCAGGGTCAACTGTTATCTATTTTCTTTGCATGACAAACCTAGCGGCCTTAAGCAAGTGGATGACAACGTGGTCTGGGGGAGGTGGCAGAGGGAAGGAACTTGCTGAGAGCTGCAAGGGATAGAGAGAGGTGGAGAGTCATGATCGCCTACGTCCTGAAAGGACACGGCACAAAAAGAAAAAGAATAATCTAAAAAATTATTAAATACAAGTGAATAGTGGTTCTTCTTTGGCTTTGTACTGGTTGAAAAATAACATAAAATTTAAAAAAAAAAAAAGAAAAGACTGGAATTTGAATTTCGCTAGACGATTCCACTCTCTGCACAAAATATTTATTTAACTTTTTTTACATTTAAAAAATTAAGATTCAATAATAGACGGATATTACAGTAACTAACAAATCGATAGTTATCCTCGGCATTGTTACAGACACGTTTTTACAAAAAAGTGCAACAATTTTTTTTCTTATCTCGACACTTGAACTTCACGTGTAAAGTAAACAAACACTAGTTTCGCGTAAAATAAACTTACCATCACTAAGTGTCCTTTTATTCTTTGTGTATGAAAAGAGGTTCCTTTCCCCACTTTTTTAGTCTGTCTCTCCACTACAACCAAGAAAACATCCTCATACTATTTGTTGTAATTTATTTTTAGAGTAATTAATAAAACATTTAACAAGTTACGAAAGAGATATGTTTTCAAAGCCCCACGTAGACACATACACGCGTATGACGAAAGAAAGACGCATTTAAGAGAGTACCTGCTGCTGACGTCACACCTCCAGTTTAAAGCGATCTCTTTCCTTCTCTTACTTAACTTTGTTTTCACCTTTTTTTTTCCTCTCTCTCTCACACACATAGCAATACTGAAAGGGACTGGTATCCTTGTCGAACACATCGGTAACGTACTTCATTTAACTATTAATTCTCCCTTTGAAGAGAATTATTAAACAACAACAAAAAGACGTGTTTTTAAAAACAAAGATGAATGAAGCAGCTGCAGCGAAATTACGTTATCAACAAGGAAATGAAAAGGGAGTGATTTCTTCTTGTAGTAACGGAACAGAACATTGCATTTCTCAACTAAGCAAACAACAAGCCATGAAATTACAACAGGTACCGTAAAATAAACCCATTTTTTTATCTCTGTTTTTTTTACTTTATATCTAAGAGCTTTTTCATGTTTGTTTGCCTGTTTTTTTTTCGAGCAGTCATCATCATGTATCTTTTCGTCTTCGCATTCTTTATCTTTCTGTTTTTTTGCTTCTTCTTATCTTTTTAGATTTTTAGTTTATTCAATTCCTGTTCATTAAGCTTTCTTACTCTCTTTTGGCCGATTAGTGGTTGGTCTGTCTGGTTAAAGGATTTAAAATGTCTTCTTTTTTGTTTGTGATCCTCGGGGTTTGTATGCGGCAAATAATCTCTATTTCCATCTCTGGAAATGAAAAAAACATCGATTTTATTATTTTCGTGTCTATCTTTAGTTAGAAAGATCAAGATTATTTGTACTACTTGCCAAAACATCAATTGTTTATCTTTTTTTTTTTAAAGAACTGTTTTTGTTATTAGTAAACGAAACCAATAACAAAAAACATTTTTAACATCCTAAATTTTAATACAGTAACAAAACCACCACAACTTCATGAAAACAAAAACAAAATTATTTAATTAATAATTCCTTTTGTTTTTAACTTCAAGTGAAATTTTTTCTTAGTTTAAAAAAAACATATCGTTTTTTTTTGGGGGGGGGGCTCTTTTGCGGAATTTTTTTTTTCTCAGTTTAAAATAAAAAAAATAAACTAATAACTAATTATGTGGATTTTTAATTGCATACATATTTTTTCTTTGTTCAAACAAAAAAGTTTCTTGACCACGTAAAGTTTATTTTTATTACTATGTGTATTCTTTTTTTTTTTTTTTTTAATTTCGGGGACAAAATTTTATTAAGAAATTTGATATAATAGATTTATCAAATAATAAATTCAATTACTTTCAAGAATCATTCTTTTTTTTTTTTTTTTTTTAATCTTCGTTAAAAAAAAAAAAATCCCAAATCGAAGCTTTTTTTTTTTTTTTTTTTTTTGTAAACAAAAATAACGCATCACTAGTTTTTCCTTTTTGAAAGTTTTACTTTCTTTTTCTTTTCGGTAGTTTTACTTTCTTTTTGCATTCAACTTAAAATGTTGGTTATTTTATTTATTTTAATTGCTTTTTTTTTCTTTTTCTTTTTTTTATTTATTTATTTTCGGCTTTGTCGATTGTCTGTTGAAAAATAAAAATACTTTAACAATCTTTTTTCCTTGGTTCCCAATTTCTTTCTGCTTAAAATTGCTTGTGGAGATGTTTTTTTGCCTTTTTTGTTTCTATAACAGACGATGCTTTAAAAAAAAAAAAAAGCCATAAAGACATCACAAGAACCGCTAAAAAATCATCAATAAACATCAATGCATAGTTTTAAAAACAATAAAATAAAATAACGTTATTTTGTTTTTTGTCAATGGAGAGGCGTTTTAATTGTAAAAGAAAAAGTGTAAAATAAAAACCAAAGGTGTAATTTTTTCAAACCGTCATAAAATTTCATCCATATGGTCCATTGATTTTTATGCTTTCTGGTTGTCGTTAAAGTGGGTGAACAATTTCTTTAGGGCATTTTATGTCTAAAAAGCACGATTAAAAAGAAGACTACATTTGTCCCAAAATGGTTCGTACATTTAGTATTGAAATGTATGCAAATGCAACAATTATTATGGGACACTAACGAACTCTCAACAAGCAAGCACGCTCGTCGAAATTCACTGAAAAAGTCATAATTAAATAAAAGTAAAATAAAAAATAAAAACAACAACAGTTAAGCAGTTAATAATTATGTCTGAAGTTAAAAACGGAACCATCCAATCTGGATTTAAATTTAAAAAGCACTGAATTTTTAATTTCATTCAAAAAGCTCGTAAAAAAATGATTGCATAACAAAACATTACAAAACACTAAAAATATTGTTGTTCTTAATCTTTTCTTTTAGATTTTTTTTTCTTTTTTTTAAGAGTTTAAAATAAATTAGGAAAAAAAGCGTTTGAAATTGTTTTAGAAATATTATTTTATTTTTGTTTTCAATAGAAAATTGGTCTGACTAAAAATGACAGCTGTCCTGGGTCGTTGACGCTGGATCATGGAAGGGATCTAAGATAGGCTGCTGTAGTTAGTGCAATAATCCCTTACCTAAAAATAAATCCTCTTAATCCACACCGCTCCATAGTATGATATTTAAAAAAAAAACAAAAAACATTATCTTTGTTCTGGGTCGATACGTACTATCCCCCGCCGGGGGAAGGGAGCTCGATTGAGGAACCCTGGTCAGTGCTTTGTGACCCTCGTTATCAACATTAGCTTTTGCTTGTTTCTTCTGTCTACATTTATATACGTTAAAATTTTTAAACTAAGCAAAACTGACTATTAAAATCCAAAATGGATGAAAAACTTCGATGTCATTTGTTTTTTTGTTTTGTTTTTTTTTTTTTTTTGTTTTTTTAATTTTCGTTCAAATCCGTGTATTTGTTTTTAAAGTAGGCACCTCCACTTTTTCGGCATAAATTTTCGATACCTAAGTTTAAAATTAATTTTTTTAAAACGAAAAAACATTCTTGAAGATTTCATTTTAGCTTTAAAAACTTTAATTGAAAGTTTAACTTTAATAATTAAATTTATTATTTCTATTAAGTAAACAATTCTGGTGTATTTCAGATAGAAACTATACATTGGAATGTCAAATTTAATTTCAATTTCTTAAATTTTCTTAAAAGCGGCCATTTTCTTAATTTTAAGAAATTTGTAAACAAACACAAATTTATCGATTTAAAAAATATTTAAAAAAATTTCTGACACGTTAAAACTTAAAATTTTTAAGTCTTGAAAAAAAACTAAAATTCACTATTTTTTTTATCCATAATAATGTTGAATAACGTATTCAAATTATTTTTTTTAACAAGAAAAATTGAAAAGTTGATGTCAAAAATTAAAAATAGCTACAAAATATTGATTTATGGCTTTTTCTTATATACATTGTATTTATTTTCAATTTTTGTAGTTGAATTGTTCACCTATTAATTATATATGATCCATTATTTTACATAATTAGGTTACAACAAAATTTGTATTTTATATGAATACTAACTTATGAAAATTGACATGTAGGAATGGGGGGTGCGTCTCATAGATTTGGGGATAGAGGCACGAGCACCTTTCCTTGGCTCTGATTTAACAGCATCAAATTTTGCAATTACTAAATACACAGGACAATATTATTTATTTACCATTTCATTACAGAGAAAGCGGATTTAACTGAAAGACACTAAAGACGTTAGAAGATTTTAGCCTAATGAGCAACCCCCGTGCCCTTATAGGACTGTATTTTTATAACACACCAAAATTTTTTTTTTTTAAAATCCAAAAGCAAATTAATCGCCATCCACTATTTTTAAAAATCTACCAAAAATCATAAATAATCTGATTTAGATTAAATTTTCAGCACTTAAGGAAATGTAAGTTATTTTTAAAAAATTACAGTGGAACTTCGGTTCACGAATTTAATTCGTTCTTGAAAGCCGTTCGTAACCCGAAATATTCGTAAACCGAAACTATTTTTGCAATAGGAATCAATGTAGAGAAAAAGTCACAGTACAATAAAATTGGAAAAGAAATGCACGGCACAACACACGAATTTATAAAACACGGCAGTTGACACAGAAATTATTCCATTAGGCTTAATTCGGTTCGGCAATGTTGTTTGAGAACCAAAATTGTGTTAGATAACCGAGACATATCTCGAATTTTCTGTTCGAAAACTGATTTGTTCGACATGTGAGACGTTCAAGAACCGAGGTTGATCTGTACTTGTTGGTCAGTTAACTCCTTCCTCCTCCCATTTCGATTCACCGTGAATACTTTTTAAACTAGGGCAAATATTTTTTAGTTTCATGAAGAAATCCCTGAAAGTATTATTTGAGAAAAAAATTGCAATATGAAATCAGGAAACCTTGAAAATGTGCCCTGAAATGTTACAAAATACAAAAATTCAATAAAACATTGATGCCTTCGCATTTTTTAGCTTACTTCCTTCGTTTTTTTAGGGATAATTTTCCCTTTTTTTATTGCTTTTAACAAATTCTTGTTTTTTTTTTTTTGTTTCGTTTTTTTACTAATGTTAAACCAGTACAAGGCCCAAGAGCTATTCAATGTAAAGGGTTACTGCGTAGACTTTAGAAGGAACCGGAAACCAATCCTAAATAGGAAACAAGGGATAACTCAAAAGACCGGGGAAGAGTATGAACTGGACGATAGGCTCGCCTATTTACTCCTGTTCATTTGAATCAGAAAACTACGTCTATTTCCTATCATCTCTTTGGTCAGATGCTTTATCTGCAAAAAGAGAACATCTTTCCCCAATTACCCTGAATGTTTTATTTCAACTCCCCTCTTAAACCTACGTTAGTCACATGGAGTGTCTTGTTACTCCCGCAAATGTTTAAAGTACTCGTAAATTCCTATTCGGCAACTTGTTTCTTTTGCTCCCTCCCATTAAAAGAAATAATACATTTCCGTATGTAAATAAAGTTTTTAGACATTTTGAAAGCGCCGAGCCGTTCATTTAGACATTTTGAAAGCGCTGACCCGTTCACTCATCAACTCTTCAAACTGCCATTATAGACGAACTATATAAACAACAAATTTAAAATCACTTTAAAAAATTCAATATTTGTCCTAGAGATATTTCGAAGTCACTTAGTAGTTTCAAGAATTAATTTACTGGATTTTGTAAAAGTAATACTTTTCATCTTGAAAATAATTTTTACACACGGTAGCCCGTGAGGTCAGACTTCAAAAACTGTCATATTCTGTAAGCCCCCTCTTAAAAAAAGCATGAGAATTATTAAAAATTGATATTTGTTTTAAAATAAATTATCTTTAACCTTATCTTAAAGTTTTAGAAAATAATATTTTATTTTATACGACTTTATAAAACTCAGAATTATTTCTATTTATTATACTATAAAGAAATCAAAAACTAGTGAAATAATATTTACCGTAAGGTTCACCCTGTACAAGGCCAAGGGACCACTCGA